TCTTTCATTTATTTATTTTTTCATTTTGCCTGTGCTTTCACTGACTAGTGCAGCAATCCCTCAATCAGAAGTGAAGGTTGAAGTTTAATGACTTTATGTATAATTTAGTTTTCTGCAATATGGCTCTCCACTTTTTTTTGCATAAGCTTAGGATAGGATGGCAGTTTATCAGATCTGCAAGGACACCAAAGATTTATATACATTTCAGCTCTACCTTTTTATTCAACAACTTCTTTCATTAGAACTGTACACTTGAGTTAAATTAGCTGCTGTAAAATATTACAAAAGTTCAGTGTAGGAGACAGCAGATGCTTTTGCTTTTGGCATTATTCCCCAAATATAAATTTTTAGGAAACTTTGGCTGTTGTATAAATATTATCTTTACAAAGACTCCAGGCTTTTCTTTTTCATTAGATTCATTAAGAATTGATTTAGGTAGCTTCTTAGATTATGTATGGGGTATGTACTGAGAAGCAGATAGAGAGGTGGGCCAGAACAGAGGTAAAGAAACAGCGTGTGCCACCCATTCAGAGCACAGGAATGAAATGAAGTAATACACTGAGAAACAAAGTCCTCCAGTGTAGACATGCTGTATGTTTCCAGTTTTTCCCCCTTCCACCTTCTCGCCCTGCTGACATGAAGTCACAGGAATATAAAATATACTGTTTTTTCCCTTTAAAATACGGGTATCTTAAGTTTTAAAAGGCATCTGCTATGCTAGAAACACAATGCATTTTTAAAAGTGTAGCTTTTCTATTAGCTTACCCATGATAGTGGAATAGTTTCCAATTTATTCTGCCAAGAGAACTCTAAACACACAAACACACACACAGATGAATGAGCTTTTGAAGATCTTGATCAATGTTAAGTTTTGCCTTTAATCTAGAGAATTTTAATTAGTTGGATTCTAAAAGCTTGCATAATTGGGAGATTGACTTTTTTTGACATGTTATTTCGACACTCCAAACTGACAAATAATTTCAATGTCTCCTCTCCATTGTTCCTTTACTTGATCCCACATATTGCAAAAAAAGTATTTCATGGTTTTAAGTACATCATGATGGCCAGCCTCAAAGGACAAATGTATTTTTGTCTCTTTTGCTTTCTTCCAAGGTCTCTTTAGTGCTTTCTGGAGTCAACCCAGGTAAGTTCGAGTCTCAGAACTTTCAAATAAAGTGAAATTATACAACATGCATGAAACAATGTCAGTTAACAAAATGAAAGTCCTTCCACTGACATTATATAGTCATGTCACTGATAAACTTAATTTTTTTTATGCTTGAGAAATTGTGACTCACAATTAGGAGAAAGTAGTCAAGTTTTCTGGGCATCTGACATATATAGACTCCCTATTCCCAACCATCTCAACTCCATTCCTTCACTTTTGTAGGCCCAAAGTATGGGGTTCTTTTTCTTTGTACACATAAGGTGGCATGGGCCCTGGAGTTAGCTGTCCTGGGTTGAAATGCCAACATACCTCATTAGCTTTGTGATGTGTAAAAAACTGAAATCTTTAAACCTCAAGGTCTATATCGATAATATAGCCATATATAGTAATATATATCTGCCTATAATATAGGTATATATTACACATAGATATAACATAGCCATACATTATAGATACACACACTATGATAAAATATAGATAATTATACATAAATATAATTTACTCACTTGGGGACAATTGTGAACTTTTTTTAAATTTTATTATTCTAAATTTTTTTTAAGATTTATTTATTTATTTATACAAGCACTGGGTACAGTCAGAATTGCGGGAGTGTGAGAGAATTCACCAGAGCCAGAGCCGGGGAACAGAACAGGCAGACTGACAAAATACACTGCTGAGGGGAGCAGCGGGCGCGACAGGAGAGGTCTGCGCTCCATGTGGGACCCTCGCTGGCAGCCGGGGATCGAACTGGCGCTGCAGAGACTGTGAGCAGCTTTGCTGGCTAGAGCTCAACCGCTGCGCCACCAGGCAACGCAAGTTGTGAACTTTAAATGACTAACATACGAAAGTGCTTAGCCTACTTTCTAGCCCATGGTTGCCAGTGTTAGTTGTTACGATGATAAAATTGTTGATTACTGTTACCACTACCCTGAAGATGCCCACCATCTGATTCTAATAATTTTCAAAACCATGAAATAATGACTGGTTGTTAAATTTCAGTGTCACTGGTCTCAGTATCACCAGATAGTTCTGGGAAGAATTCTTTGTTCCCAAAAATCAACTACTATTCCTACCAGGTGTTAACTAGAGTGCTGGAAGCTGCAGAGAGCATGCCAAAATACAGAGAAGATACAATCTAGTTTTAATCCTCAAGAGACAGAAAGAACATGGCACAGAGCAGGGAGTGGACATGTGTGCACATATATAATATATATATATATATATGTGCATATATGCTAATATTTAGCATGCTACAGGCACACATACACTAAATTACACAGTGTGGGTGGGCTGGTTGGGAAAGCTTCATGGACAGAGGACTCAATCTGGTCCTTGTAAAATCAATGAAAGAGCCTGGAAAGATAGAGACAGATTAAGAATGAGCTCCAAGTAGAGGCACTTGATGTCTGCAATAAAGACAGTGGTGTGGTAATGAGGAAGTGGAAGAGGTGGTCTCGCCTGAAAGATTTTTTTTTTTTTTTTTTTTTTTTACCACCAAGGGCTATAGGAGAGGTGCGACAAAGCTCTCTGATGGAGGGGTGAGAGTGATCATAGTTTTCCAGTTTTATACACTGTGGAGTTGTAACCAGAGGGGAATGAATATTTCCAAGTAATTCAAGAAAGTGAATCTGGTGGTGGTATACTAGCCAAGCAGATCACAGATGTTGGCTCGGTATCTCTGGCAATGATGCAAGAATGGTGGGATCCCCATGTTGAAAGAGTATAAATATGTATCTATATATGGACATATCTGGAAGCGGATGCTTTGATTTTTATTACCCATTTAATCACAATTTAAAAATGCACTTTCTTTTTTAGACACTCACTTTCTTATGGCACCTATTAGTTGCAGCTTGCAGAAGAAACATACTGTTCCATGACTGTGGACTGAAGATAATCACATATGTCCCATAAATGAAGGGACACCCCATAGTGATCCTTTAACATATGATGCCAGAGAGCTACCTGCTGTCAATCAAAATCTCAATGACTTCTTTTCTGATTAGTTACATGAGCAAGCTCTTGATAATGACATGAAGGAATGTTTTCTGAAGACAGAGATTTCTCTGACTCATATCTATGCTGGCTCCAAGTCATCTAACTGTTGAACAGAGTGTTCTGGTGCTTGCTTACAGTGGTGCTTAGCCTCTGTCCCTAAGGCTCTGAATGTCTAGCAGTACTTCTGAGGGTTCTTGTGGGAAAAGTGTTTATAGGTCTAATTATTTAACAAATGCTTAGAGGAATGCCATTATAAAAAATGGTCTTCCAAGAGCGATGCCAGCACAGCTCAAACACTGATTAAATTGTTTTGACATAATTGCTGGTTTATAAGTATCATGACAGCCACTATTCAAACAATTTTGGAGGGAAAAATATTGGAGTCACACGGGAAAAGCAATTTTGAAGAATCATTTATTTGTTTTATGGAAATACTGATATCAAATATTGGAATTTTTTAAAATAAAGTTATCTGACCAATGCAGTAATAATGGCCAGAACTCAGACACATTAAATTAAAAAAAATTATTTAGTACGAAATACATCAAATTCTATGTTTTGCAATTCACCCTATACTCCTTAAAGTGGTTAAGGGGTCAATAATATTAATGAGATCTGTGCCAAGCTATAGACAAAAAGTTGGACCAGGAAATTAGACTCAAGATCCTACACAAAGCATAAACCACCAAAGACTGTGAAAGATTTACCACCCACACAGTGTGGAGCAGCATGGCACTGTCAGGCAGCACCCCCTACCAGCATGGCAATGCTCTGAACAGTGACAGTGGCTTCCATCACACTTGGCACAATCAGCTGCCACCTCCCTGCAGAAGAGCAAGGGACTGAAATGGAAACATCACAGGATTGAAGTTGACAGTCAGACTTGTGTGCAGAGGGATTTCCAAAGGGCAGAGGAAAATGGGCAAAGCAAATGGGACTTTTCATCAGAGCACCTTTCATCAGTTTACATTGGTTATCTAGCTTCATTTTCTCCTCCTGTTTGCTCATCAGATTTAACAGTACAAAGTGTACTGTTTCTAAGTACAGGCAGCCTTGAATTGCAAATGCAAATTCTAAAAGTCCCATAGATACAAATATTACTACTATGCCTGCTAATTCCCCCCAGTCTCACTACTGAGAGAGAGGGTTTGTTTGTTTGTTTTGAATTGTGGCCTTTTGACAAAGCCCCAAGGGCTTATCTATGAAGGAAGTGAAGGAGGAACAGGAGCTATGCTGGAGAGCTGTGGGGCAGGCTGAGTTCAGACTGTGGGACAGTGACAAGAGAGAGAGGAAGATTGTTGGGGAGCCCCGGGAAGCATGAAAGAAGAGGTAACTGAGCAGAGGGAGTGGAAGACAGAACTCCAGTTTCCAAAATCATCATGATTCACAGAGGAGAACAGAATTGGCAAGCGGTCACAAAAATGATCAAGATTAGAAAGATCCACGTAATAAAGGGAAATGGTGCTTACTTCACTTTGCATGTGTATCCTATGTGGAAAGGCGAGGAAAAGTGGAGGGCACAGATAGATGTCAGGGGTCTGCTATCAGATGAGAGATCCCACATCTGGTTACAGCAGGAAGGTGGTGGCTCAGTGGGACCACTCTCCTCCATAGCCAAGAGTAACTAACAGTAGGGTGGTAGAAGCCCATGCTATAGGGGACGCGGCCATGGAACCATGTGACACTATGTGCCACCCAGTTTAAAAAACATGTTTTAGAGTGTGAAAAATGATATGCAGTCTTTGGTAGGTTCCTAGTTACTCCTATAGAGGAAAACAAAAGGGGATGGTTTTAAGAACAGAAACCAAGATTTATTCATCTTTTTAATCCCTAGGACAATGAGAAAACTGAAAAAATACTACCATGAGGATACTACAAATTCCATGGAACCTTTGCTATGAGGCAATCTCCTTGTCATGGGATATTTAGAGAAGGAAGAAAGGTACCTATGAGTTTAGATAATTAAATTGATTCTGCATTTTTAAACTCAAATATATATACTTACATTTAGTGACTAGAAAAGAAAGTAAAGGGAAAAGCAGAATGAGACAAAGGCACTAACTAAAATCTGGCAAGAAATGGTGGGATGGGGGAAGAAAAGGTAGAACAAACATAACCCAAAAAACAAGGTGACAAAAATGAACGCAAATATGTCAACAAATTAAAAATAAACTAAACAGTAATTTAGTAGAGTTTTAGTAAAGGCTCAACTGAAATAACATAATCCAGAAATATGCTATTTATAAGACACAATTAAAATAAAGAGGTTGAAAATATAGTCCAGGAAAATCCTACTCAGAAGGAAACTCGCACAATTATATTGAAATTAGGAAAGTAAACTGAAAAGCAAAAATATGAACGAAAGACAACTGTATCACTGTCCAATGATGAAATATTCAATTCATTTGGGAAAGATGGGAATCTAAACCTGTATTTGCTAAATAACTTAGCTTCAGAATATATGAACTCTTCTCACACACCTTTCTCAGTAACTGACAGATTAAGTAGACCAAAAGATAGCAGGTATACAGAAAATTTTAACAAAAATTCTTGGAAAACTTGCTCTAAAGAACATATAGTACACTCACTTAACATTGCTGTTAAGAATATGTAAAATATTTAAGAAAACTGACCACATGTAAGACTCTAAATAGTGTCCATAAATTTTAATGAGTTTTCTCTGATTATAATGCAATTTAGTTAGAAAAAAATTTTCCATGCACTGAGAATTAAATGCACACTCATGCACTCACATTCTCTAAATACCTTGTAGGCCAAAAAAAAAAAAAAAATGTTGAATGGAAATTAAAAAGTACTGAAAACTTAATAGATAACAGTAACAATAACTGCTCCTCAGAGGCAAAATAGTTTTAAGTAAATGCTTGTATTTTCAAAAAAAGATAGAAAATTAATGTGGTTGTATCCCATTTGAGAGTAAGAACAGAATTCAAAGAAAATGAAAGGAAATTAATAAATATCAGGAGAACAAGAAAGATTTTTAAAATGTAACATGAAAGATTAATAAAGCTGAAGGTTATCTCTTTGAAAAGACTAATGAGACCAACATACCACTGGCAAGAATATTCAACAAAGAAGAAAGATGGAGGACACAAATAAACAATATTAATCATGACAATGCAAAAAAGAAAATGAGAACAAATTTAAAAAATATTAAGAAAAAGTTATCAAATGTATGTCTCTAAGTAAAAACAGACAAAATATATAAATTCCTATGAAAATATTAATGATAAGGTTAACTCAAAAACTAGAAATCCATAATAGTCCTATAACTATTGAAAAAATTAGTAATTAAAAATTTCACCATGAGAAAAACTGGCTAAATCTAGCTGGTTTTATAGGAGCATTATAAAAATAATTTGAAACTTACATGAACTCTTTTAAGAGAATAGAAAAAAGTATGCTATCTATTTACTTTGAAAGCAGATACTTATCTTTTTGAAGTGGGAAAATGGAAATATAAGAACGATAATTAAGAGACTAATATCCATAGTACAGATGCAAAAATCAGTAGTGAATGGTATTGAGCAATTTTTGTATATATCATGACCAAGTTAGGTTTATCAAAGGAATTGAGGTGGTTCTATTAGAATATTAATTATATCAACTAACTCCCCACATTAACATATTAGAGATAAATCAGTTATTTGCTATAATGATAAATGCTGAAAAAGCATTCGATCAAATTCAGTATCTATCCATGTTAAATAATTTTGATAAAAAAGGAAGGAATATTCTTAACCTAATCACAATTTATTAATACTCATAAAAGTCTTTTCCCTTAAAATTAGGAATAAGTCAACGATGCTTGCTAACCTAAGTTTTATTCAGTGTTGTACTGGAGGTTCTAGTTAGCTTTATAAACAAGAAAAAAATAGATCAAATGTATAAGGATGAAAAAGAATCAAAACTATTAATGAGATTTGACATGATTTTCCATAGAAAAATGGAGAGGGCCTCCCTTGGTGGCTCAGCGGTTGAGCGCTGGGCTGCGAGGCTGCCCGCAGCCTCTGCAGCAACAGTTTGTTCCCCGGCCGCCGGCGAGGGTCCCACAAATAAACAAAAACAAAACCAAAAAAAACCCGAGAATAATCTACAAATAATTGAAATAAAGAATGTTAAAAAAACATTTCTGGATATAGGAGCTATACAGAAGAAGCACAGTGTGTTGTACATACACATATAAATATACATATATACACACAGCCCTTTATATACATGTATATATACACACATACCGTATTTACTTGCAATAAAAGAAAATGTAACCTTGAAAGAAATTATTGCCATAACAAAAATGTATACATAACTAAAAGATGTACAAGATTTTATAGAGACTATTTTGAAATTTTACTGAAATAATGTAAAAGAAGATTCAAATAAATGGAGACATAAACCATGTCAAGAGTTAGGAAGATCCAATATTGTCTAGAAGTTAGTTCTTAGAAGCTTTATAAATGGATATGATGTGATTCCAAACAGAAACTACGACTTCTTCAGGAACCTGATTGCATTTTCAATTAGCAAGGTGATTCTACAATAATGGAAGCCAACACATTTCTAAAAGAACAAGGCAGATTTATAGAAGAGCTCACACAAGTCAGTGAAAGACATTAACATCCCAGTAAAAGGTAGAGGACAAGGATATGAACAATAAATCAATGAAAGAAAATTTTTACATGGTCCACAAACATGCGAAGGCTTATCTTATTCCAAATGGAACAATAATGAGATGCTCTTTTTTTTTTTTTTTTACCCATCAAACTGCCAAAGAGAAGTCAATGCTCCTTTTAGTGCCTGAGTGTTGAATTTAGCATTTGTGGGAACAGTGCTGATGGTGCATGTGAGTCAGTACAAGCTTTCAGGAAAGCAAGTTGACAATCTGACTAAAAAACTATGAGAATTTAATACATTCTGAGCCAGTAATTCTCTATCTCTTGAAATCTTTGGAAAGTAATGGATGTGAATACAAATAATTGTTCACAGCAGTGCTCAAGGCAAAAGCATAGGAAACATTTGTGATATAATATTAAATAGGAAAATAAGATTTAAAACTATTATATAGATTCCAATGTATTAAAGTATTAAAAGGAATCTTACCAAAAATTGATAGTGCTTTATGAGTGATTTTTAACACTTTTTCTCCTTATAGTTTCCTTAAATTTCCAAATTTCTTAAAAAAATTATGTGGAAAACTTTAAAAACATATTTTTTTATTCTGTACTCTGACAACTGTTTTTCATCATTAAAATAGAGGAAAAACAATAAAAGCAAGAATTCTCTTTAGGCAGATAAATTATGTTAATTGGATTTATAGTATATTCTCTTCATGTTTCAAGAAGTAAGCTTAAAATACACTTAGTAATCAGCCAAGTAAAATATTTTGGCCTTAAAATTGGCAAGGAACTCAAATGCATAATTACCTAAAGCACATAAATACAATACATATAAAAACATATGCTGTATATTTATAATTAACACTGAATACATTGTAATTATTCCCTATCTCTTGTATAATTTCCCTGAAGTAAACAGATAAAAGGTTTTTCATGTGTCCCTAAAGGGCAACAATGGAAGATAAAGGGAGTGAAGAAATTTTTTAAATGTCTAAGGTACCAAATTTATGGGTGAATGCTATCATGGACACAAAACTACTTTCATTTCAGAAGATGTAGTAGAAGAAGTTGGGAACATCAGCATGTTCTTTTTTCCCAGTGCTATGATGGGTCAGAAAGTTATGGGTTCAATATTATGTGTATTATGTATATAACAATAACATGAATTTACACCATATCAAATGTAAAATAAATTAAGTAGTTCAAGTTAAGTAATGTGAAATAAATTAAGTAGTCATTTAATCCACATATTTTCTTATTATTATGGTCGTTTAAAACTGGGACAGTTGAGGATTAAAGGTGTAATGAAACTATGATCATAAACACGTTTCAGACATTGTGAGGGTTTGATACAAAAATGTACTAATATCACTACCATATTCTCCCAACTCAGAATTTCCTGTTTTTGGAGATGAAGTAGGAATTAGATGTGAGAGTAGAAAGTGGATGAAATGGGGTGGGGGGATAGGACAGGAAGGGCACATCAGGATAGAACCCACGTCATCAGAAAGGCTGAATAAACTCAGCAAGCGAGGCAGAGGAGAGCCCAACGGTCTGCACATCGGCTCTCCGCACTGCAAGGACCATAGGCAGCACTGCTCACCATCCTGAAGATAATATCAATCTAATGGGAGCCTGACATCACTGAGGTGTCAGCACTGCTACTACTATCAGAGACGTCAAGGGTCTAGCTTTATGGTCACAGCAGAGACTTCTGTGAATTGACAGGTCAAAGGCTCGTGCCTAAGTCTGTGGATTGCCAATTCATTGTTCTTCTCCTACAAAACAGTGTTTAGCACCCTTGTCTGGAAAAAGCAATTGACTTTTTCACTGGTACTTTTTTGTATCATCTAGTCAAAGTTAAAGGAGTTATCTTGGTTGTGCCTGGAGGTCAGAGACCCAGTCAACCAGGTCGGACAACCATATTATATTAGATCATCTCCTTGAAAAAAGGATTCAACATCTTCCAGAGTTGATCTTTCAGGAAACCCTGTGCTTTCACACACAACTCAAGTTTACATATTAATTTTCTCCCTTTCTCCCTCTACTGGGTTGGTTGGTAGGAATAACCAAGGGATGCAGCATATAGGATCTATGACTCTCAAGGATCTATGACTCTCAAGAATCTATGTAGTTTGATTTCTTGATTTTGGTTTATCACAGTTTCTAGTGGGTTTCAGATGAGCCAGGCTGGCTGATGTTTGCAGAATGATTTTTTTTAAAGATTTATTTATTTATACAAGCAGTGGGGTACAGGCCAGAGGCATGGGAGGGTGACAGAATCCACCAAAGACAGAGTGGGGAGCAG